ATTCTTGCCTTCTTGAGCCTATGCTATCTTGGGAGCTGTTTTCAATGTGTTGACCTCTGGGTGGAGTTGCTCTATGTGGTGGTCTCTTATTTGTTGTTCTTCTGCCCATACTTGGTTAGTAAGAATTTTTGGTGGAGCTGTGTTTAACGTACTCTTTGAATGTTTGCTTATCCTGGAAGCTGCCTACTTTCCCATCCATCTTGATAGATAATTTAGCTGGGTATTCTTTGGTTTGCATTATTGTCTTTCAACTTTCGGAATATGTTACTCCACTAGCTCCTCTTCTTCATGGCGTTCGCTGATAGGTCTGAGCACATTCTTATTTGGGCACCTTTTTAAGTGACTGCCTCCCCCCCCCACCCCCACCCAGCTGCTCTTATGATTTTCTCCCTTTCCTCAAAGTTGGATAGTTTAGCTATTATAAGCCTTGATGAATTCTTCTTGGTATTCAGTCTAGCTGGTGTCCTTTTGGCTTCCTGAATGATTGTGTGATTTGTATTCATTAAGTTGGGGAAGTTTTCCTCTAAGAATTCTCTTGCTATTATTGCCGTTGACTTCTTTGTTGTTTTCTTCTGGTAGTCCAATTATTCTAGTGTTGTACTCTTCATAGCATCAGACACTGTTCTCAGGTTTTCTTCAGCTTCTCTGATTATCTTGTTTGACTGTCTTTGCCATTTGTTGGTGTCTGCCTGGTTATCCTCAAGGTCACTGGAATGATTCTCTGCTTTTTCTAGTCTGTTGGTGAAGACTGTGAATTTGTTTGCTCTTATCACCTGGTCCCTTAACTCTTGTATTTCCCTTCAGTGCGTGGCCTTTATCTCCTCTATTATTTCATCTTTTTTCAGTACTGCTTCCCTTATATCCTGTATATGCTGCAAGCAGCATTCTGAAGATTTCTTTCTGTGGCAGATCAACGTCTACTTTCTATGAACATAATTTGGTTCAGGCCTTCTTCTGACATTGCCTTTTGTTTCTCCTGATTTTTGAGGTTGTTGAGGCAGTTTGCTGTCATTTTGGAAGAGCTTGGCACCATTTTCCCGGGAGTCAAAGATCCCTAGGCTCTCTCTATGGGAGGCTGGTAGGATTGCTTCTGTGGGTTGCCTGTAGCCAACTGCCCCTGGGGTTGGGCTATGGCTTTGTCCCTCTGGGACTTCCTTTTCACCCTAACCTATTCTGTTATTTTGGAGGGAAGGTTGGATGGTCCTCTCAAGGGATGCTGGTCAAATAGTTGCAGGCCATGAGGGTGGCGCTGTGTAGGCCGATCAGGCAAGGAGCCATTGCAGTTTGGTGGATGTTGTTGGAGGGAGCATGGTGGATTGAGGGCGGCAGCAGTCAGTAGAAATCAGGGTGCTGGTTCAGGGAAGTCTAATGGTGTAGTTGCAGGTCCAAGGGTGATCTAGTGGGGGAACTACGAGGCCTGGGACTGCACACTGGAGGCAAACTGGTAGTGGCCACTATCCACCAGTCTTTCAAAGACTCTTAGTCATGCCCCAAATTGGTAGAAGCAGTTTTTGGCCTGTGCTGTGGCTTTTCTTGTTTTGTTATGTTAAAGCTCTGTAGGTTATGCTCAGGGGATCTGCTATCTGCCAATTTTGTTGTTAAAGCTACGTTAACGGACCAGGTTTCTGGTGGCTTACATTCAATGTTACACAACGGAACACAGCCTTGGATTGAAAGCGTTTTTTGAAAAGCGTTTTTTGGTGCTTTTAAAAAAATAATGGCTTGTAGGGTGCCCTGGTATTGGGGCTGTGCTGCCCTGTCCCCCAGGGAAGGAGGACCAGATTAGATGAGTGGGTTTGGGGCCCAGTGCATCTGATTTACCCCAGATGCCCTCCTTTGTCACCCCCTTCCTCCCCTGGTCCCTCCTACAGAGCTCACAGGCTGTGCTCTGGGATCTACACTCTACCACGGGTAAATATCTTAGGGGCTCTCCAATTGCAGTAAATTAGTGTCTATTTATCTGTTGTTGCCCATGCTGGCAGGCGGGGAGCTGAGCAGAAAGGGAAAGGGGATGACTGATGCAGTTGTTCTGCTCCTGACCAGGGAGAGGAGATGTAAAGCCTGAGAGTGCAAGAGTGGAGAGGGCTGCAGAGAGTAGACCTCTGGTATGCACCCTCGTGGCTAGTTCTCAGAGGCTCTCCTTGAATCTGAGAGTATGACTACCTTTAGACAGCAGTCTGGGGAAACTTCTGCATGCTGTGGGTCTCAGATACCACACATAGGAAGAGATGGCGAAGTGGTCCTGCTGGACCTGGTGAGGGATTAGTGGAAGTTGTGGGCAGACACGGTGAACTTAAGAGCATTTCAGCAAGCCCTTTAATTGCTCCGTGGCAAAATTCGCAGGGGAAGGTCTGATCCACAGACCCTAGTACATTTGAGCTCTATTTCTGGCACCCTGCTTCCACTATTGGCCTCTTAATTTTCCAATTCAACAGCAAGAGCACTAGTTGGTGATTCTACCTGGACACTATCTTTTTTTGTACCACCTGTGGATGTATCCCCAGAGGTGTGAGCTATGCCTGCCTTTGGACACTGTATGGCTAGAATTGCTTAGTATGCATGTCATTGTGTGTGGCTCATCTTCCAGTTTCCACTTGTTTGCTGTTGTGAACATGCTACTGTGACCAGGCACATATGTTTTATGGCACACCTGTGCAAGAGTTTTTCTAGAACACAAACACATGCCTAGGCATGAAGTTGCTGAGTCAGTCTTACTAGACAATAGCATTGCTCAGCAAACCCACTATGACAGTACTGTTAGAAATATTTTTAAACACCCTGTTTGATGAAGTTAAAGGTTATTGAACTGTGTATCCAACTCCTAAGAAATATTAGCATCCTTTCACACCCTTATTTTCATATGTTCCTTCTTTTCCTTCTGTGAAATACCTGTAAGGAGATATGGGTGACCGATTGCAATGATCAACATATAACACACACACACACACACACACACTCCTACAGGGGGGTGAATAGCAGAAATTGTGGGGGAAGGGAGACAGTGATCAGAGTAAGATATGAAAATAATTTATCAAGGGGTCACAAAGGTGGTGGGGGGAGGGAGAAAAGGGGAGCTGATAACAAGGGCTGGAATAGAAAATAAATGTTTATAAAACTGTGGCAACACATGTACAATATGTTTGATAAAATTGATGTAAGAGCATTCAATGACATGATCTTATAAAAGAAAATAAAAGGATGCAATGATTAAAAGAAAAAGATATGGGTGTAGTTTAGCCTATCAGGTCAGAGCCTGATGTTGCCTCTTGGTGGGTATGGTATTCTCATGCGAAGGATCCTGGGAGCTTCCTCTCTCTGCCTTCACCTTCATGCTGGTGAGCCCCACTGAAAGCTGCATGAGCACGGTGATGCATTTACCACCACTTGATCCACTAGACATTTCACCACTAGCCCAGTGATGTTCCTGCATTCTGCATCATTGTATGTGGCTTTGTGAGTCTGAAGAGGGACTTAAGGACTAGGTCAGGCTTATGGATTTCAGTAGGACTGGGCTGGGATGTTTCATTGATTCATAATTACTTCTTGATATAAAGATCTTACACACATCCTTGGATTTCTCTAGTCAACTCCATTCATGCCTTTCCCAAATATTTCTATTGTTTTGTATTCTGAACTAAAGGCCTCTGTTGAATTCCAGTGGATTCTCACTCCATGGCTTATCTTTTCACTTGGGTGAAGAGGAACATTTGTAATTTTAAGATTTCATTTAAATGTGCTTATTTTCCTTTTATGGCTAGTCCTTTTGTGTCTTAAGAAATCCTTCCTATCCCTGCCCCAAAGTGCTGTAAATCCTAACCCCTATACTGTGGCTAACTCTAGCTCTGTGTTATGTGGTGGGCTGCTCACCAGCTCAGCAGTCCCTCTGAGGGAGAAAGATGAAGCTGTCTGCTCCCATAGAGCTTACAGCATCAGAAACCCACAGGAGCAGTTGTACTCTGTTGAACGAAGTCACTATGACTCCTAACGCACTCTGTGGCAGTGAGTTTAGTTTTATATTTACATCCCATTTGGGAATAGGGTTTTGTTATGCTAATGAGGCCACATCAATGTAGACCATGTCTTAACATAATCTCTTTTAAGACTTGAAGGAACAGATTAAGCACAAAAGCAGGGAAGCACAAAGGGGAGTCCATGAAGACTACCAAGGGCTGGAGGAAGGAAGAGACATTGAAAAGAGCTATCAGAGAAAGCCTTTTCCCAGACCTGATGCCCTGAATCTAGACTTCTAGCCTCCTGTGAGAAAATAAGTTTCTGTTCTATAAAGACCTTTGTCTCAGTTATCTGGTGCTGCTGTAACAGAAGTACCACAATGGATGGCTCTAACAGAAACATATTCTCTCACAGTTCAGGAGCCAGAAGTCCAAATTAGCTCTAGGAGAAGGTTTTCTTTCTGTCTCTCTTTCTGGGCGAGTGGCCTCATTGCTTTTCAACATCTTTGGGCCCAGCATCCTTTGGTGATCTACATGCTTGGCATTTATCTTCCTTGATTCTCGGAGGTTCTCAGCACATGGACCTTGGGTCCAAAGGATGAGCTCTACTCCCTGTCTCTCCTTTCTTGGTGGTACTGAGGTAGCTCCTTCTCTGCGATCTCATTTTCTCTTTAAAATAACAGGTGACACATACCACAATCCAAGGAAAATCCCCCAATGAGACCAAGATTATGACTTGAGCAAGAATGTGGAACCCCACCCTGTCCCCTTACAATTGATTGGTGGATCACATCAAATCACATGGGGGTCATTCCTTCATCACAGACCCAACAAACCACAGAGAATAATGGCCCAGCCAAGTGGACGCATGCATGGGGGTTGGGAGGACACAGTTCAATGGACACAGTCCATGACTCTTTCTTGCCCTACAGTTATGATCATCTTCTAGAACCTCATTTTTACTTTTCACATTTAGGTCTACTCAGCAGTGTACACTAGAAATACAATGAAGAGCCACATATACAATTTAAAATTCCCTAGTAGCCACATTAAAAAGCAATTAATGTTAACATTTAATCAAATATGTATAAAACACATGAACATATAACCAGTATAAAATATTTCGTATTTTTCATACTAAGCCTTTGAAATCTGGCATAGATTTTATGCTCACAGAGCATCTCAATTTCATTAGAAGTACTTGACTCAAATTTATATTTTATAAATGATATCATTAAAGGTAGATTCATGTACCCAAGTTGTCCCAAAGCACATACGTGTTTTTCAGTAACTCTGTAAGTGCCCTTTCTTCAGAAACTCCTGGCCCGATAGTCCTCTCTTCTCATCAGAGCACCTGGCGTGGTTTGAGTGTCTGCCTTGGTCCCCACCATTATTCTTTAACACCTGAGCAGTGCAGTTAGCACAGCACCCATCGTGGTGCTGCCTGAGGAGCCGAGGGTCGTGGCTGGGAGCTGCCGTTGGCCTCAGACTCATGGCAACCATGAACACAGAACAAAATGCTCTTTGGCCCTACACTTCCCCCCACCATGGTTAGCTGTGGGTCAGACTGTTGTGATAATTAAGAGTTGTCATTCACTGACTTTCAGGAGAGCTGGGCCTTTCTTCTTCAGAGCCACTGGTTGGCCTTTAACCTCCAACTTTCTCATTAGCACTCATATCTTAATCACGGGTATTACCAGGGGCTGCAGACCTACAATCATGATGACTACAAACCAAACAAGCTGCCAGGAAGGCAGCACACACTCCTGGTCACCCCGTGTGGCTCCAGCTGTGACAGCTCCATCTTCATGGGCTCTCAGCTCTATGGAAACAGGTCCATCTGTCCTTTCCTCTGGGTGCTCAAGCACCAACCTTTAGGTTAATGGTGAACAACAAACCATTTGCGCCACCCCAGGACCTACACCCACAGCAGGAATCAATACAACGAAGAAGCCTTCCCTCTCCCCTTAGAGTCAGACACCCCCCACCCTGGATAGCCCAGCTTGCTGCTGCCTGCTCCTGGTCGGATACCTGTGAGAACCAGCAGGTGGTTGGGCTGGTAAGTCTTCAGTTTCCAACGCAGTCCAGGTCTTACTGTCTTTCAGACTACAATAATAATATACAACAGTCTTATAACAGAAAGGGCAACATGCTCCCTTCCCAAAGGTTACACATCGGGCTGCTAATCACAAGGTTAGCAGTTTGAACTCAGCAGTCACTCGGCAGGAGAGTTAAGAATGCCTGCTCCCTAAAAGAGTTTCAGTCTGGGAAGCCCACATGGTCCAGTCTATTGTCCAGTAGGGCTGCTCTGAGTCAGACTGATGCGACGGCGGTGAGTTTGGTTTTCTCAGAGGGGGATAAAACGTTCTCATAAAACGTGGGGAAGAGAGGGATGACACAAGCGCCTCTAGGTCACAAAGCCACCTGTCATACTATGGGGGCTTGCGTGTGCTGGTGCATTTCGAACACTAGAACCGTCTTCTGTGAACAGGTTTCAGTCGTGCTTCCAGATCAGGAAGAAAGGTCTGGTGCCAAAGTTAGGGCTCTCCGAGGGGTGCTGTGTGGCCCCAGGAGGACAGAAAAGGCTCAGGGGTGGGCAGAACAGGTTTAGTTCCTGGAGTCGTAGTAAACAGGGAAATCCAGAGCTAGTGCACAGAGGTTCTTACGGCTGCTTCAATGCATAAGCTCACCTCAACTGACACAGAACTGAAGCAGGCCCCCCTCTGTTCCCAGATGTCATTACACCGGCTTCAACGCACAGGCTCACCTGGTTAAACGTGCTCAGCTAACACAGGACCAGAGCAGTCCCACCTCTGTTCCCTCCAGGGTCTCCCAGTGGCAGGACTAGAAGCCTAACGACAAGACAGCTACTCAGGTCGCCTGTGGAGCTGAGAAATGGGTCTTACAGGCCCAGTGTCAGTGGCATGAGGCCAGAGGGAGAATGTCAGTTAGGAAATATTGCAGCAGCATATATAAGACACAGTAAGAATGTAAAAACAGACTAAATTTCGGAGCCAGTTTATTTCTTCTTAGCTCCACGTGCTGAAGCACTGTAGCCATACCAGGTGATGGTCTGCGCTTCCCCTGCTCTGCTGTGGGCGTGTGCCTGGGGCAGGAGGCGCTGCCCGCCCGTTCCTGTGGGAGGCTGCGGAGCCTAGCCCAAGGGCTCCTGCGGCCTCGGGCCGGGCTTTGGAGATTTCAGGTCATGTAGCTGAAGCTGTCGCCATCCAGCACGTCTCCGGAGTGCCGTCATCAAGGCAGGGGGCCGCACCGGCTCTGCTGCTGTCCCTCGGGCCCTGTCTCTCCAGCGTGGCCTGGAGAAGCTCTCGGATTCTCCGGTTTTCCTTGGAGGTGGACTCCCACACGACCTCCAGCTCCCCTTCCATTGCTCTGCGAGACGTAAACAGAGCGGGGGAGAGTTCAGTGGTACAATTCCCACAACATTTAAGAGCACTTCAGGGGCAGAGAGCGCCATGAACTCAGAGTTCAGAGTGCACGGAGCTCGGGTTTGAGGCAAAAGTGTTCATGCGGAAGTGGAATATACAGGTCCTTTTGGAGGGGGGGATACAAAGGCACAGATGAAAAACCATTTCTTACTTCTACTGTCTCTTGCTTTGCTGCGTGCTCATAATCTTTGCTCTCTTGTTATTTTATGACTATAAAATAACGGTGGTCAGAGTGGCTGATTTAAGCCAGGCAGATGCTACTGCCCTATGACCAGGCTGGCATGGGCCTGGAGGCCCTCTCCCATGTCCCTTGACTGTGCTGTGACCTGACAACATGGGTTTTTCAGAAGTGCTCACCCACATGGCCCGATGGAAGCAGACATGCCAGTGAGTTGGGGCAGAGTGGGCATATCTGTAAGGAGCAGGAGGTGAGGGCACGAGAAGAGTGGCCTAGACCACCTACCAGGAGGACAGGAACCCAGAGGGAGCTGAGGCCTGAAAGAAATGGAAAGGGCAGCGAAGCAGTGTTTTCTGAGAACAACTCTGTGCTAGCCAAAATCTTGGATGCTGGGAAAGCAGGGCAGGCAGAAGTATCCAAGTCCTCTCAGGGCCACGGGCAGACCGGGAGACCAGCCATCACTGCAAGAGGCAAGAGAGCCCCCAGGGAAACAGAGACAACATTAGGTCTCAGTCCAGGACGATCAGGCTTTGCCCAGGTGGCAAGGGGAGACCAGCTCCTTCACAGATACTACTAGATGATTCTGGAAAACATTAGCAACCAAATGAGCAAGTGGACTTAGAATCATAAGAGGACACTGATGCTCATGGTGACCAGGAATCCTGTACATTCATCCAAGGTCACCTTTCCTGTGAGCTGTTAACAGGGGTGTGAGACAGCCCAGAGCCCGGAATCCAATGTACTCTTTCCAAGGTCCACTGAGTGACAAACAGCGTTTACAATTACTGTGTAATTAGACTGTGTCTAAAACATCTCCAGATTTGTTTCTGCACAAAACACTAGATGTTTGATTAATGATAGAAATACGTTTAAGTATGGTTAAAATTAAAAGGAAAAACAGAAAGTCTGGTAGCCGGCACTCCCAGATGTGTCTCATGCCTGAGAAGCCTTGCTCCAAGCAAGGGCCAAGCTCTCCCACGATGACCTGGCAGCTGGAGACCATTGAGAACAACGCAGAATCCACTCTCACCAACTTTACCAAGTACCTCTCAGCCCGCCACGGTTTCAGGAAGGCCCTGCACCTGGCCATGCAGGTGGAAGAGCGGGCCAGCAAACAAGTCAGCGAGAAATAGCCCCAGTGATGACTGCAAATAAATTTGAAAACAATGGAAGTTTCCCACAAATTTTTTGAAGCCCCCTTGTATATCTATCACACAACTTTTGCCTGGTCAATTATTTACAGGTTTAAGCCTTATTGACAGCAATTAAAAGAATATGTTTGCAAGTGTACATATTCTATGTACCATGTAGTTTTTCCATCCTCACTATCCTCCACCCCCCACTTTCTGTATACTGACCCTAGTAAGCACTAATAAACTTTGATATCTACACACACACCCTCAAAAAAAAACACCCAGAAAATTTCTTAGAGCGGGGGTGGGGGGGCTCACAAAACAGTGCTGAAACCACACAGGACAACAAAACGTCAGTGTTGCTCTGAGAACGCAGGAGAACAGCTGAAACGTAGAGGTCGTTGAAATGAAGACTCTCTCTTGGGTCCACACAAATTTGGTGTGGCAAAAAATCTAAAGGTTCCTCAGATTTGTGTTTCTCTTCTTCCTAGAAACAGTCTCAACTCAATATCCCAGCATGATGCTAGAGGAGTCTCCTTGCAGATAACAGCCACTGGCTTGTTCTCACATGGATCATGGATAAGGTGACCAGACGTCTCGATTTTTAACAATTTTTCCCGCGTCCCGCGGCATTTTCAAAAAATCCTGATTTTTGGAAAGAATGCACGACGAGCTAGGGTATACGGTTTTCGGCTGCCATGTGGCTATTTCGCCTGGATATGAGTTTCATCAATAGTGTCCCGCTTTACCAATGTTAAAATCTGGTCACCTTAATCATGGATCATGGAATCTATATTATTTTCCACAATCAAAAACCCCAGACCCTGACTGAAGTGAACCAAGAGTAAAATCGTATTTCTGAGATAATCAGGAGCAAACTGTAATGATGGCTTAAACAGCACATTGGGCACAGCTGAGGAGAGGGGTTCCTGAACCAAACTCACTGCCATTGAGTTGAGTCTGACTCACCGTGACTCCAGAGGACAGGGGAGAATGTGGCCTGTGGGTTCCAGGCTGTAACTCCTGACAGGCGCAGGAAGCCTCAGCCTCTCTCAGAGTAGTGGGTGGTTTCAAATTGCTGGCCTGGTGTGTTTAGCAGCTCAACTTCTAACCCACCACACCGCAGGGCTGAACAGAGAGATTAGTAAACCAAAACACTGAGTGGAAGAAATTACCTCGATTGGACCAAGGTTAATTGGCCTGGTGTCGTCCACAAAGACAATGTTGTATATCCTCCTTTGGTGAGTAACACCTTAAGTCTTAAGTCTCACGAGTGGTCATCTAACAGACCTCTCCCAGCCTGAAGACAGGAATGGGGAAAATTGAAGACACATGGGAACAATGATTCTAATGGACTAATGGACCACAAGTCTATGACCTTGAACTGATGGTGCTTGGCTACCACTACCCATTGCTCTGAAAGGGATCAAATAGGTCCTAGACAGAGTGGGAGAAAAATATTTAGACCAAAACTCAAAATCATAAAAAAGACTGGACGGACTAGTCAGATAGAGACTGGTGAATCCCCCGAGACTAAGGCCCTTAGTCCACCCTTCAAGCCTGGAAAGGAACTGATCCTCATGGCTCAACTTCCAGCCAAACAATAAGCAGGTCTATAAAGGAAGGGTAACACTAGGAAGGTACTCATACACACCTTCAAATAACCAACCATTTGAGGTCAAAGGGCAGCATTTACCCAAGGACAAAGCTCAGAAGGATTAGCAAAGCAGAAGAATGGATAAAGAGGAAGTGAGATTCATGATGTTACATTGTGGTGATTATAATCGAAGAAATGAGCCCTATAAAGGTGTATCTTAAAGTCACTGCTATAATCTATTAATAATAATAACAAAATGAAAGTAGCTCCAAGTTACAAACATTCTTCAGCAACCTGGAAAAAAATATCCTCAAAAAAGCCTTCAAAGTTCTACAGATTAAATTCATTCAAATATGAGCTCCTAATAAGAAATTATTGTACAAAAAAATTACACACGAAGCAAACCAGAGCAAGTCACCAAAACAAGATGTATCACAACTAGAAAACGAAACAGCTGTGAATAAAATGTAAAAGAAATAAAGAATGGATTACACATACGTAAACCAAGAACTTAAAAAACCAAGTAAGCAGATTTTCAAGAGAACAAAACAGAATTGCCGAAAATGAAAAATACAGTTCTTGAAATATAAAAAATAACTGTTAAGTTAAATAGCACATTCAACACAGCTGAAAAAAGAGTTAACAAACAAGAATATCAAAAAGAAGAAATTACCCAGAATGCTGACCAGATATATCTATTACAGAAGGAAAAGATATACTGTATTTGAAGAGATGGCAGTTTTCTAAAACTAATGGAAGATAAAATCACAAAGCATAACTTACACCAAATAGGATAAATAAAAAGAAATTCATAATTAAAAGCTCTAGAGAGAAAAGACAAACAAAAGATTTCTCAACAGCAATAATGAATTTCAGAAGAGAGTAAAGTGTGCTGAGAGAAAATTATTGTCAAGGTAGAATTTTATACATAGCAGAAATGATCTTTCAAAGGTGAGGTCAAAATACAGCCATTTTCTGTTAAGAAAAACTAAAAAAGTTTACTTCCAATAGCAAAAAACTAGTAATTTTGATTTTTCAGGACAAAATAATGATATAAAATGATTTTTTTCATTTCCATATCTATTTCTAATAATAAAAGACAGTCACACCATGTAAACAGAATGATAAATAATTGTATCGTTCTAATAATGTATTTGTTGTATGTTGGGGGAAATGCAGATAGAGATCTAACTATAGATTTTTTTTACAGTAAGTAAAATATATTCATTTATTTTACATTAAAATTATTATTTTTTAAATCATTTTATAGGGGCTCATACAACTCTTATCACAATCCATACACACATCAATTGTGTAAAGTACATTTGTACATTCATTGCTCTCATCATTCTCAAAACATTTACTCTTCACTTAAGCCTCTGGCATCAGCTCCTTATTTTCCCCCTCCCTCCCCGCTCCCCCTTCCCTCATGAGCCCTTGATAATTTATAAATTATTATTTTGTCATATCTTGCACTGTCCAACGTCTCCCTTCACCAACTTTTCTGTTGTCTGTCCCCCAGGGAGGAGGTTATATGACATCCTTGTAATCAGTTCCCCCTTTCCAACCCACCCTCCCTCCACTAGATTATTTTATGTTACAAATCTTTGGTCAAATTTCAAGGTAGATCACTATAAATAGAGAGGTATTACTTTCAAGGTATTAAAAAGAAAAAAATGGAATAAGAGAAAATGAAAAAACAAAAACAATAAAACAATAACACAACCCCAAGAACTTTAGTAATACAATTCTAAAACTCCCATCTGGTAAGGAGCTTAGTCTTGGGCTATTGATGGTGATGAGAACTTCGGTGACCATGCTCGATAAGAGTCTGACTCAGCTGGCAGGGAGCAGCATTTGGCTGAAGGGAAACATAAAGAGATAGCTGCATTTTGATGTCATGAAACATACTGCTATTACTGTCACATACTTCCCATGAGCAGAACTGGCCACTCGGTTTGTAGCTATGCATGTGACATCACTTAACACACATGCCTGTCACAACAAAGACGTTAGGTGTTGAAAATGCTCTTTCCCCTACTAAATGTTCTTGCACCTTTGTAATCAAACCAGCTAGCTGTATCTGTAGGGGTCTACTTCTGGGGTCTGTCTTCTGTTCCACTGATCTGTGTGTCCACCCTCTGACGATTTCATCCAGTCTATATAAGAACTCTTGGAATTGGGCAGACTAATTCCTCCCACTTCAGTCTCTTAAAAAAATCTTGGTTATTCTAAGTCTTGTGCCTTTCCATAAAAAGTGTAGGATACTCTCGTTTGGGTAGACCAGGGGGTTGAGTTGCCATTGAGTGACTCTGATTCATGTACAATGGGAGGAAATAGTTGTCCAGTCCTGCATCAGTCTCATGCTTACCAGCATGCTGAGTCAGCTGGCCCTGACTTCACAAAACATTATATCCTCCTCATGTGATTGATTCTTCCTGGAGATGTGTCCATAGCAGTGAGTGGCCAATGTTCTGCTGTGATTCATAAGGCTTTCCTTAGCTAGTATTTGGAAGCAGATGACCACCTTTCTTTTTGTCTTAGTTTAAAGCACTGCTGAAGCCTGCCCACGATGGTTGACCCTGCTGGTATTTTAAAGACCCACCTCCAAGTCGGTGGCTGCAGGCATTAGCTGATTAGACAGGTCACCTGCAAGTATTTCTCCATCTGCTTTATTTTGGTGGTTCAAGAGTTGAGGCAGGTAGGGATCAATTTCATAGCAGCAGATATAAAGTTATTTACACATTTCAAGGAGAGTTCTTTTAGAGACTGGGCAAGTGACAAACTGGAAAACCGTTTTATACCCTAGACACTGGTACTGATAGATTGATTTGGAGTGAAAAAACCCAAAACGCATCTAATTCACAGGACTTGGAGTGTTATCACTTGTTTTTGTTTTGTTTTGTTTTAATTAAAAGATCATTTCACTGGGGGGGGCTCTTACAACTCTTATTACAATGTATATATTAATTGTATCAGGCATATTTGTACATATGTTGCTGTTCGGTAGCAGAATAGGGGGGTGTTCCTCTCCATATCTAAAGGACCCCCACAGGAGGTGGGAATTCAATGAAGGCTAAAGGGTGTGCTACAAATTCAGGCCCCCAAGCCAGGTGGGCGGTACACCTAGGTAGGCGGTACACCTGGGTTGGCCCAAACTAGGCCAGAAGGGCTTAACTCCGCCAATGGAGTCAAGAGGTACCATTGACCACAACTCCCAGCTGAAGGCCTTACAGGCTGGAACCTGGAGCCCACCGCCCCTTTCCTTTCTGCTGCTTCTCCGCTTTCTGCTTAGCTGGGCCTTGGTCTCTCTCTGGCCTCAGGCCACCATGTGTGAGTGTGCAGTCCCATGAGGCTGCCTGTGTTCAGTGACTATAAAACCTGAAACTTCTTCTGTCCTTCATGAAAACCCACTTGGATCAAAACGAGGCTTCGGTGTGAATCTTTCTGGTGCGCGGCCATGAACCGAGGCAGTGCCCACTCGAGACCCTGACGTTGCCATCGTTCTTTTCTAGACACTTACTTTCGATTGAGCCTTTGGTACAGCTCCTCTTTTGTTTATTCCCCTCCCACCCCCTCGTGGCCCCTTGACTGGTTATAAGCTGTTATTATTTCATATCTCACACTGACCGCGGTCTCCCTTTCCCCATGGTTTCTGTTCTTCTTCCCTCTGGAGGGGGCTGGTATATCACTTGTTTTTTAAAAGAGATTTCAAATGTGGAGACAGAGCAAAATGCCATAAGAAGAAGCTTGGCACTGGAGTGCGAAAGTTAAAGGCAACAAAGGAAAATACTGTTATATACACAATTCTGCAATAATGGAGAACTATGTGTCGATGCATATAAAACAGACAAGGGGTATATACCCACATAGATATCTACAGAGAGGCCTGACAGATAATTTGTACACGAGTATTTCCCTCTGCTGCAAGTGTATCCATGGATGTGGTGGAGCACACAGGGGACAAATTTATGGAAAATTCTTGGACATAATAACCTTGAGGGATGAGTTGCTGGGTCTGGGGACTTAGGACCATAGTCTTAGGGGACACCAAGGTCAATTGGCATAACATGGTCCACAAAGTCTCCATCCTACTTCAGTGAGAAGTGATGTACTCGGGGTCCTCAGAGCTCAGAACAGCCACCTGAGGTGTGACCAATGCTTTCTCCTGTTCAGAGGAAAGAAGAGCAATGAAAATCCAAGAAATAATTTTTCCAATGGACTACCACATGAATATCAGCCTCCTTGACCCTCAAACCAGAAGAGCTAGATGGTGCCCAGCTACCACAACTAACTGTCTGAAAGGGATCACGTTAGAAGGTCTAGATTGAGTAGGAGAAAGATGTGGAACAAAACCAAAAATTATAAAGGAGATAAGGCTTGCTAACAGGATAGACAGGCAGAAGCCCTAAGAGTATGGTCCTCAGTCACTTTTTGAGTCTGGAAGTGAAGTTTCCCCACATAGTTCAATTTTTAGCCAAATAATAGATGTGCCTATAAGAACCATAGGATGACTGATGTGTGCACACCTTAGAATAATGTACCATTTGGGATCAAGGGGCAGCATTTGCTCAGGACGAAGTTCTGAGGGGTTAAGAAAGATGATGATGCGGTGATGCAGTACACTAAGAAGGCGATGTTACATTGAGGGGGGTGTAATGAATGAGATGAAATGAGTATAAGTTGTTGAAAAGAAAACTGATGATCTGCTCTGTAAGCCTTCAACCAATTCACAATAAAAAGGCTTTTGTTTTGTTTTAACGATTTCAAATATGAGTGCCTATGAGCATAGATAGTTTCATAAAGTTCTGGGCAATTCTGTTAAAAAAATTACATTTGCCCCCAAAATAAATAAATAAATAACTTTACATTTTCCTCAAACATAGGATTTCATATTAATGCTATCTATTGCATTTGTCTCAAATGAATATTTAAGAAGTGCGGGGGTGTTGCTTAAATTTCAAGGAACGGGAAATGAAATACAACAGCAATTAAGTTTTGAGAAAATAATCTGAGCATGATTCTGAGTCTTCTGTATGCACAATATTTATATTTTGGTCTAGCTGAGAGAACAGAGCCACATGAAAATGCCAACTTAACTGAAACCAAAGTAACCAGGAGGGTAATCTTCACCAAGCTGTGGGACTGCTCCACATTGTTTACTACACGGACAATACTTTCTTCTAGCAAATGTTTAAAAAACAAAGATGCAATGGATATAACATCTTCTCGTCACAGAGACTCTATTGCATCTATTATTTTATCATTAGGAGCCCTGATGGCGCATGGGATTACACACTGGACAGCTGACCTCAAGGGCCGCCGTTTGGAACCACGAGCCCCTCTGGCGGGCAAAGGTGAGGCATTCTGCTCCCGTAGAGGCTGACCGCCTTGGGAACCCACAGGGCAGTTCTACCTGTCCTATGCGGGGGCCCACGAGGCAGAATGGGCTCAACGGCAGTGAGTTTGTTTTTTTATCGTATCATGATGCTCTTATAAGAAGGAAAGATAATAAGTTAAATGGAAGTCTTGGAAATTAAAAGAAATTGCCAGAAATTTAAAAACTAACAGAAACCTAATAAAATCTCCAAGAAAATGGAATAAAATTTTTTAAAACTGGAGGGATGGCAAAAGGGAGGGCCATTGGAAGACTGGCTTGATTGAGGACGTTCAATATCCAAACAAAAATAAACGTTCGAAAAAGAATTTTAAAAAATGAAAAGAACATCAAGTACAAAATTCAGTTCAGATGAAACTATAACGTGAAAACAAGAAGTAATCAAAGAAACAAAACGGGCCCCACGGGGGTTACTACAAAAATACCAATCCAGATTAGCTGTTACTCTGGCTATGTGATACCTGTTCTGCTGCAATGCCTCGTCCAGGACTTCCTGCTTGTCCCGTAGCATCCAGTGGAGGTGCTGCATCTCCCGGTGGTATTGGGCTGTCTTGCTAGCAAAGTCCTCCTGCTGCTCCGCCAGACGGTGGTTGCTGTTGCCCACCTTCAGTGCTGCCTGCTTCTTGTAGCCCTGGGGGAGGAGGCACCAAGTGAGTAAAGGAAGGCATACTGCTGCAGCCTCAGTCGATGATGGCACCTCTACCCCATACACACCCTTCCATTTGCTTTCTCTACGTAGCACACATGGTTAAGCTTTTGTCTACTAGCCTACTAACTAAAAGCTTGTAAGTAAAAATATACCCAGGGGTGCCTCAGAAGAAAGGCCTGGTGATCTGCTCGCAAAAGGTCACAGCCATGAAAACCCTGTGGAGCAGTCTATTCTGAAGCAGATGGGTTCACCCTGAACTGGTATGTTAGTCCGGGTAGACTAGAGCAGTGGTTCTCAACCTGTGGGTTGCAACCCCTTTGGGGGTTGAACGACCATTTCACAGGGTTCCCCCGATTCATAACAGTAGCAAAATTACAGTTATGGAGTAGCAACAAAAATAATTTTATGGTTGGGGTCACCACAACATGAGTAACTGTATTAAAGGGTGGTGGCATTAGGAAGGTTGAGAACCACCGGACTAGAGAAACAAATTCATAGACACTCATATGTAAGAGCTTTATATACAAGAGTATTTGAATACTGAGAAAACGTCAAGTCCATAAGTCCAATATTAGCCCATATGTCTGATACTAATCTATAAATTCCTCTTCAGACTCACAAAACACATGCAATGATGCCGAATGCAGGACGATAAGAGGGCAGTGGGTGGAAAGTCTGTGGATCCAGTGGCGGTAGAAGCATCTCAGTACTTCCAGCCAGGAAGGGGTGGTACACCTAGGTGGGTGGTAAACCTGGATTGGCCCATCTGGGCCAGGTGAATTCAGTTCAGCCAATGGGGTCGACTGGCATCATCAACCATGCCTCCCAGTGGAGGAATTGAAAAGGCAGCATCCGGACCCCACTGTGTGACTTTTCGGCTCTCGAGAAGGCTGTGCGGGGGTGAGGGGCCCTGCAGGTGCCTGTGTGAACCTGAAACGTCTTCTATCTTTCATAGAACTCACTTGGATCACCATCCAGGCTTCAGAGTGAATTCTTTTGTTGTGCAAAGCCAAGGTCCGAAGTATATCTCCAAGAGAGAGAGCTAAGTTTCACTGAGGAATATAATCCACAATGTGGATATGATCTTTTTTTTTTTTTTTTATCATTTCTTTATGTGATTCTGGCACACATGTTTAAGTTTCCTTGTCTAGAAAAATATATATCCAAGAAAGGAATGGCTGGGTTGTGATCTATGTGAACGGAATACTGAAGATGTCAACTAATTTGTAGCCTAGCAATAATGCAGAAAGCTTCTCACTGCTCTAAGTCTTTACCAAATACTGGATTGGATATTTAAAATTTCAATCTTGTGGGGAAAAAAAAATGGGTGAAAACACTAACTTTTTCCTCTGGCCACTTTCAAGTTCTTCTCTTTAACTTTGGTGTTCCTTCAGTTTTATGAGAATGGGTCTAAGTTTAGATATCTTTATTAACCCAGCTTGTTGCTCATTATAGCAACTTTGTGTACTTTAAGATTAAGTTCATTATAAGCTTGCTTACTTTAAATGTACTAAACAGCTAGTGAACATTGTGTGATATGGATTTAAGTCACACAACATGAAATTCTTAAAAATCTAAGACATCTTCTAGGACTCAGAAGACATTGTAGAAGCTAATACAAATCTAGATGACACATGGCTAAATTAAATCATTGCCAAGCACAGAAGCCACAGGACAAGCCCCAGAGTTCTGAACGTGGTTTCATACGGGTACCACTTTCTCAGAGCAATGGAGGCCACATGGAAGAGAACCAGGTGAGCTGCTCTAGTTCACAAAGCCTCGACGGTGGTGCAAACATCACCACGTCAGAGCGCTAAGGGATCTTCCCTGAATTTAGTTGGAATTTATTTGGAGGGAAGTGACCTGTCCTGGGCAGGTCCAGAATCTACATCAGGGTAGTTTAGGGATCTTCCTTGTGGCAGAACATCCTGGAAACCTGACAGCCCCTTAGATAGCACCTGTTTGTACCAACTGAAAATCAAGACCTATAATGCTTTCATACATCTAAAATTTGTATTATTTACACTATTCACTATATATATTATAAATATATATAATAGTATATCATATACACTATATTAAATACCATCAATCCATTTCTCTACTATCACATGCCTTAATTACTGTTCTATATACACTTGCATTTGAACCCAGAGACCATGAATCTTACCTTCACTACTGGATGCCGTCCACTCATGTCCCCACAGTACCTTCCTTTCCCAAATCCACAGGTTCTCTGCCTGCCCTTCACCCAGGCTGTGGGAAACTCAGAGCCTGGATGAAAGTGTAAGCACTTAATCTCTACACTCGTGACTAAGGGACCAGGAAGACCTGCTCTTGTGAAAGACTTCCACAGTTCTGAGATAGAGATAAACCCTAACAGCTTTCTTTACAGAGTTCTCTCCACATCTGCCCTCCTTGAAGATGTGGATCTACAGCTGTCTTTATATGAGGCGCCTGGCTCCTCACTACTCATCTGAACAATGTCTATCTTTAAAAGCAGTCAAGCTCCTTTTGTCCCTATCATGCTAGGGGTCAGCTTCTCCTTTGTCTCTGAGTTGCCCAGTACTTATAGTGAAGTCCAGATACATTCTTCTCCAGCAAACATGTTCTTCACATACAGTATCTACAAAATAAGTTGCTTCCTACAAATGCCTAGTTTCTTGCCCACACAGTTAAGAAGATCACTAAAAGCATCAACTACTGCTCTGTTTACTGTTCTTAAGGAGCTGTTTGTATGGCCGGATCAATATCAGGCCAGCTTCTAGCTGTAAGTGACCTTGAATCTTCCCCACCCGTGCAAAGCTGACCAGACCTGGCTGAAACAACTAGCAGCAAGTGGCCTTGCACACACCTGCGGAGCTGACCAGAGCTGGCTAATGGCCCGCTTTGTTCTCAACCCGCCACTGTGTACCCGGCATGGCCCGTTTGGCTCAGTGCCCGCTGCTCTGCACCCGGCACGAATACACCCGGCACCAGGAAGACACCTTACATTCCAGAAACCCGGACATACCGGTATCTTCCAATCCCTGACTACTTTACCTTATATGGACTCAAGGCAGCCCAGTCACATGTTCCCCGGCTATATAAACACCACTCCTGTAGTCTAGAGTGCGACTCCCTCGGCCTGGACACTGTGGACCATGGGACTTTGCCCAGGCTGGGTTTTTCTCCCCAGTAAAGCCTGTTTGCCCAAATTCGACTGATTTGGTCTCTGGCGCTTCTTGACTACCTTACACTATTGAAACCATTTTTCACTCACCTGTCAGACACTTGCTTTGAGGTATTCTCTAAGAAACTGAGATTTCAGATTCACATTTTGCCCTCTCTATTGATGTATATGCCTGATAAAGGTTTGCAGCCTTACCACTATATATACTCACTGTAAAATAAACTAGCTCTCTTCCTTTTGATAAGCCTCTGTATCCCATATTCTTTGTCCTAAGGACTATGGGGCTGGATTCCACCAGGCCAAACTGCTTCTCTTTCTGCCACAGCCCCAACAAAAACTGTGCTGGCTGGTGGAGCCTGCAGTCTGCATAGAGAATGGAGTTTACCACAGGCAGGTGGCCCAAAGGAGAAGGGCAGCCATAATGGTGCAGTGCTATGAACTGTCTGATGTGGCCCTCATGGTTACAGTCTGTCAGGGTAATTCTGCCCCTAACACATCATCACGGGTCTGGTAGGTGCAACTGTACAGCAATAATAAGTAAAGTCATAGAGAGCATGAGAGATAGAAGAGAGATTGAAATAATGGAGTCAGACACATTTCATATGTCACTTGGCAGTCCATGTGGAGAGAGAGATATTTAATGCTAACCAAGGCTTTTATGTTTTCTGGGGACATGCAAGCCCCTTAATTACAGGTGAAGACATACGTCACAGGAAAGGGTTTTGCTATTGGTAATACAGTAATGGGAGGGGGGTGATCTAGGGGTATGCACGCAATAGGAAGAGGAGCGATTGGGGGTACACATGTGGCAAGATGGGCAGATCCTAGATTCAGGATGCCAGCCTAACTTTGGATGTCTCTGAGCAAGTCTGATATGTTCTCCGGATCTCCAGAGCAACCATTATCAGCAGGGTGTGAACCCCACCTACAGGAACCAATCTAATGGTCGCAAGCTTTTAGAGAGAAGTAGCCCATTGTCCTTAGCAGCAGGGAGCAGGCCTACCCCTGGGACAGACTGTAGTCTGGCAGCTGACTGCCTTAAGGGAGGTAACTTGACAATCACTTACCATTAGCTGGTAGCAGTGTCCTAAGTCTAACATATATTTGAGGGAGATGACTTAGGAGAAAGCTTTCTGTTTCCCACAAGTCTTCACAACAACTCCCCATAGAAATATTTCTTTGTGGGTGAAGGGAGACGTCAGACAGTGCAAAATATGACAAAATAATCATTTGTAAATGATCAAGGGTTCATGGGGGGGGGTAGCGGGGAGGGAGGGGAAAAATGAGAAGCTGATGCCAGGAGCTTGGGTGGAGAGCTGATGTTTGGAGAATGATGAGGTCAATGAATGTACAAATGTGCTTTACACAATTGATGTGTGTATGGATTGTGATAAAAGTTGTACATCAACATGCTGTTTTTTGGTGGGGACTACTCACTGTGACAGATAGATTAGGGATAAAGGGGGCTTGTCTCCACCAAATGCAACAGTAAATGGGTTGGAAAGGAATCAGGCAGCTATTAGACACCTGTGGGAAAATCCAGAACAGAGCATGTGCAGGCAAAGGCCACCTAGTGACATGACATCACATAGAGCACCTGAATTTAGCCAATATTGATTGGCTAATACACTCAACCACACCGCCCAGCCGGTGAGGCTAAGAGGGCACAAGTAGCAGTCTGAGGCAAGTCACTCCTCTCTCACAGGGTGGAGCGCAGGGGTGCATACACGCCCCAAAGCACACTCAGGGCTCAAACTCTCACGCTCTCTGGCCACCCTTTTTCAGGTGGCTCCCTTGCACGTCAGAGTGCAGGAGCTCTCCTGTGTGCGAGCAGGCCTTCGGGACCACACTCTATCCCGAGCTTGTCTTCCTTTCTCAGTTCAGGCACTCATTTGGCTCTGTGGACTCCTCATCGGCCATTTTTCCATGGGATTTTTCGCACTCCCCTGAAGCGGTCATTTTCAGTGGTGAACTTTTTTTTTCAGCATGTCTGTTAATTAATGTTTCTTTGGATAGTTATTTTTTTCTTTTTTTTAAAATCATTTTATTGGGGGCTCCTACAACTCTTATCACAATCCATCCATTGTGTCAAGCACATTTGTACATTTGTTGCCATCATCATTCTCAAAACATTTGCTTTCTGCTTGAGCCTTTGGTATCAGGTCATTTTCCCCTCCCTCCCCCCTCCCTCATGAACCCTTGATCATTTATAAATTATTATTATTTTGTCATATCTTACACTGTCTGATGCTACCCTTCACCCACTTTTCAGTTGTCCATCCCCCAGGGAAGAGGTTATATGTAGATCCTTGTAATCGGTTCCCTCTTTCCACCCCTACCCTCCCTCCACTTCAGTGGTGAACTTTGCCACGCGCCCCCCCCCCCCCAGAAAAAACAAACACACCAGGTATTGTCTGAAGCTGTAATGCCTGAAACTTCCCTTTCCCTCATAAAAGCTACTTGGATTTACAAAAGTGCTTTTGCCACTTGACTTCTTTCAGCGTTGAGATGCAAGAACCGAGGTAAACCATCCCAGAAACCTAACAATTGTTCGTTAAATGAGTCGAGAGATGCTAATTTCTGCCAATGAAACCGTACAGTTTTGTTTTGTAGATGACAGTGAGGTAATCCTGCAAAATGTGTTACTTTCTTAAAGGTAGAACAGTGCACCCACTAGGTCTTCATTCCCATTTGAAAATGGCAGCTCTGAGGCTAAATCATGTCTACTTACCTTGACTTTTTCCTCCAATTTTCCCAGGCGAATATTGCCTTTCACTATTGTGTCGAAAAGGCCATGCTTCTCACTTTCAAAAAATTTAGCCTAAGTAGGAGGGTAAAAAGAACAGTAATGTACTTTTTAACTTGACTAATTTGATGATTACAAAGTTCAAGATAATGAAATATGTATATGAAATATATTAATGTATAATGCCATTCTCCATGCCAAACATGGCAGACAATATGTCCAAGAGGGTTCTGTCTCGAAGACCAATAATTTAGATTATTATCCAGATGGAAAAATAACCAAACCAGACACACCTTCAAGCCAATAGCTCTTATGCCTATAGATGACCACATAGGATTTACTGCAGATATGCAGGAATGGTTCTACATTGTAAAAATCAATCAGTATAACGTACTGTATCAAAAGAACAAAGGGTAAGAACCACACGACCATCTCTATGGATGCAGAGAGCGCATTTGATAAAATCCACCACACTCTTGATGAACGAAGACTAGAATAGCAGGGAAACTCCTCATTATGATTCAGGGCATCCATTGCCCTTATTACACTCAATGGAAAAGACGGAGAACTTTCCCTTTGAAATCGGGAGTATGGAGGACCTAATGTCGGGGGTTTAAGTGGAGAGAAAATGTTTTGAGAAATGATGTACAAATGCGCTTTACATAATTGATGTGTGTATGGATTGGGATAACAGTTGTATGAGCCCCTAATAAAATGTTTTAAAAAAAAAAAGAAATCGGGAGTATGACAAGGGTATCCACACCTGCTTGTGGTCGTTGCTCAGTGCTATCCCATCAGTTTGGACTCAGCGACAACATAGGGACAACAGAAGGAAACACTGCTGGTCCTGGGCTATCCTCACAATTGTTCCCATGCTTGAGCCCATTATTATAACCGTTGTGGCAATCCACCTTGTTGAGGGCCTTCTTCTTATTCACTGCCTCTCTACTTTACCACAATCACTACTTCTACTGAATATTTTATTAGAACTCCTAGCCACAACCATAAGACAAAATAAATAAAAGCTATCAAAAAAAACCAAAAAACAAAACACTATCCAGATTTGGAAAGAATAACATTATCTCTATTTCTGGATAATATGATCCTATATATACATAGAAAATCTCAACGTCCAGATGCAACTTCAAGAGCTAATAGAGAAATTTAGCAAAATGAGGCTATAAGGTCAACAAAGAGAAATCAGCTGGGTTTCTCTACACCAACAATGAAAAATCTGAAAGACTAAGTAGGGAAACAATGCCATTTACAATGGCACCTAAGAGCAAAATACGTAGGGATAAGTCTAACCAGGGAGGTGAAGCACACAAATAACAGAAACTATATAAAACACCGTTGAAAGAAATTCAGGAAGATTTAACTAGATGTAAAGTTGTTCCATGCTCATGAATTAGAAGGCTTAATGTTGTTACCACCTGAAATAGTTAAGGTTTATTTGCCAACCTGGCTGGTGAACAGATGTGGGATCAATTGAAGGGCTGAGAGATAAATGGCTCGGTGAGCCTTGCCTTTCTAGTTCCTAGGTCTCTTGCTCTCTGATGGTCAGACCGAGTGCTGCTGCCTTAGCCAGTTCCCTGCTTCAGCTGGCAAGGCTCACTTCCTGCAAGATAACCCTGAGAAGCCACATGGACCTACCTCAATGCAGCCTTGAGTGCTGGAGCACCCATGTGGAGACCCCTGCTAGCGCTGAGATGCTTACACGCTCACTGATTCGGCTTTCCTCCTACAGTCAGTGTCATTGCATGTCTTTTTTGAGATTAAAGAGGACTTTGTAGATCAGTGTCGAACATTTGGGCTAATGTTGGACTTCATGGACTTGGACAACACTGGGTTGGGATGTTTTCTTGATGTGCCCTTACCCTTTATAGAAAACTCTCTGTTGTACATATCAGTTTCTGTGGATTTGTTTTCCTAGTTTACCCAGACTAACACACCACCTAAGGTGATCTACAGAGTTAATGCTATCCAGATCAGAATTACAAGGCTTGTTTAAATAAATAGAAAAAAATCCTCAATTTCTTATGGCAAGAGGCTCCAAATAGCTAAAATAATGCTGATAGAGAAGAACAAAGTAGGACGACTCACCTTTCCTAACTTTAAAACATATTACACATCTAAAATAATAAAAACAGCCTGGTATCCTTATAATAATAGGCATATAGACCAAGGGAACAGGACTGAGAGTGTAAAAATCAACCCAGACATCCATGATCAATGGATCTTTGACAAGGATCTTAAGTCCACTGGATGGTAAAAGAAGAGCCTTGTCAATAAATAGTGCTGGGAAAAATTGGGTTTCCATTTTGATAAAGATGAAACAAGATTCATATTAAAAACAAATGGATTAAAAATGGATTAAGGACCTAAAAGTGCAAATTAAAATCATAAAAATTCTTAGGCCAATAAGAAGAGGCAAACTTTTTAAACAAGTAGAGTCAACAATGAAATTATTCATACAACGACAAAAACACAAACAACAAATGATAAAATAAATGGGACCTCATAAAAATTTTTAAATTTTCGGGATAAACAAGCTGGAAGAGAGAACAACGGGATGACAGTTCTGGGGGGACATGGGAGAGGGGGAGGTGGGGGGGAAGGAAGTGGGTGTTAACAAACTCAGGGACAAGGGAAAACAACTGATCCAAAAACAGTGGCAAGGAGGGTGTAGGAGGTCTGGCAGGGCTGGATCAAGGACAATGTAACTGAGAGGAATTCCTGAAACCCAAATGCAGACTGAACATGATAGTGGGACAAGAGGAAGGTACAAAGAAATAGAGGAAAGAACTAGGAGGCAAATGTCATTTATAAAGATCTAAATACAGGCAGATACAGATGTAAATATGTTTATATACAATGAGAAGGAAATAGATCTGTGTACATATATTTATAAGTTTAGTATTAAGGAAACAGCTGGACAGTGGGCCCCTACTCAAGTACTCCCTCAACACAAGAACACTTTGTTCTAACAATCTGGCAGTCTGAGATGCTCACCTTTCTGGCACGATCACTGAAGACAACAGGTGCACAAGCAAATGTGGTCAAGAAAGCTGATGGTGCCTGGTTATCAAAAGATACAGTGTCTGGGTCCTTAAAGGCTTGAAGATAAACAGGCAGCCATCTAGCTGAGAAACAACAAAGCCCACATGGAAGAAGCACACCAGCCTGTGAGATCAAGAGGTGTTGAGGGATCAGGTATCAGGCATCAAAGAACAAAAAAAATAGCATTATGCATGAGGCGGAGTGCAGAGTGGGGACCCAGGGCTATTTGTGGGCAATTGGACAACCCCTTGCAGAAGGGTCACGGGGAGGAGATGAGCCAGTCAGGGTGCAGTGTAACAATGGTGAAATATACAATTTTCCCCTAGTTCTCGAATGCTTCCTCCCCCCTCACTATCATGATCCCAATTCTACCTTACAAATCTGGCTGGACCAGGGGATGTACACTGGTACAGATAGGAACTGGAAACACAAGGAATCCAGGACGGATGAAGCCCTGAGGACCAGTGGTGAGAGTGGTAATACCAGGAGGGTGGAGGGAAGGTGAGGGAGAAAGGGGGAACAGATTACAAGGGTCTACATATAACCTCCTCACTGGGGGATGGACAGTGGAGAAGTGGGTGAAGGGAGACGTTAGACGGTTTAAGATATGACAAAATAATAATAATTTATAAATTATCAAGCATGGAGGAGGAGGGAGTGGGGAGGAAGGAGAAAAAATGAGGAGCTGATACCAAGGGCTCAAGTAGAAAGCAAATGTTTTCAGAATGATGAGGGAAACAAACATATACGTGCTTGACACATGGATGTATGTGTGGATTGTGTTAAAATTTGTACAAGCCCCCAATAAAATGATTTATTATTAAAAAGAATTAAAATTTTTTGTTTATCCAAATACTTTACAAAAAGTGTAAAAAGTAAATCCTATCACTTTTTCAATAATAATAGATAGCCATGTTGTTTTGACCACAGTATGTTGCACATGCACAATATGTATAGATGTCTATCTATAATAATGCCAGCAGCATCAGCCTTGATGGCTATGTGGTACCATCATCTAGGCCCATCAATAACGTAGTCAGTCAATTCCCTATATTGGGACGGGTACTATTAGAAACAATGCTGGGATGAGTATGGCTGAAGCTGCATCTTTGTGCTCTTTTAAAATATTTCCCTAGGATGAACTCTACTTAGCCTCTATTTCTTACATTTGCTCTTCAGACAAGGAACTTATTAGTTAGGTATACACATGCCTTGTGAGTTAGTTAAAGTGTATTGTGCCAACCTGGCCGATAAACACATGTGGGATCAATTGAAGGGCGGAGAGATGAATGGCTCAGTGAGCCTCCCCTTTCTAGTTTTCTGGTCTCTTGCTTTATGATGGTCGGACCAGGGTGCAGCTGCCTTAGCCAGTTCCCTGCTTCAGCTGCAAGGCTCACTTCCTGCAAGACATCCCTGAGGAGAAGCCACATGGAATTACCCTGATCGCACCCCTGGGTGCTGGAGAGCCGTGTGGAGACTCCTGCCAGCGCTGAGATGATTACCCTTTCACTGATTTGGCTTTCCTCCTGCAGCCGGCATCATAGTGTGTGTTTTGTGAGATGGAGGAGGACTTTGTGGATTGGTGTTGGACATATAGGTTAATGTTGGACTTGTGGGCTTGGGCAGCACTGGGTTGGGATGTTTTCTTGATGTGCACTTACCCTTTATTTAAAACTCTCTCTTATTCATGAGTTTCTGTGGATTTGTTTTCTAATGTACCTAGACTAACACACCTCGATGACTACTGTTCTACTTAGCAAAGTAAACCAATTTCATTCTCATAGCTTTTTAAATACAATTTGTCATTATTTTAAAAGTTTGAGTTACTCACCAAGCTCAAAATGTTTCTCCTGCTCCCCATGATTAAAAGGCAAAATTTTGGTAACCTGTGATAATAGTTGTTTGCATAGTAACTTTTACGTTACTTGTAATAACTCTGAGAAACCTTACCAAATGCATGAGCTTGTCCCGTTCCTGAGTGATATTCTCAGCAAGTCCAACAAGATTGGCCAAGTATTGGTGAGCAGATAGCTCATTCTCCAAGGCTTGTTCCACCTGCTTTCTGAGGACATCCATTTTCTTCTGAGATCGCCTATAAAGTAGAATAAGGAAAAAACCCTTCATTCGCTTGACTGGCTGGGGTACAGTGAATATCTGTATTACAAAAGTACCGAGGGTGTTAGTTAGCACCTAAAGTCCATACTCTTCAGCAACCTGCATCTTCTATTAAGGAGAGAAGAGGCCATCGGATTGCATTGTAAGCCAAGCACAATTATTGACTCTGAATCAAGTCAATAGAGGTCACATGTGCTTAGTCAATTAATGGGTTAATTATATGAAGGGGCTTCACAAAACTGGTGGAAATATGTAATTCAAAGATACTGGCACTTTTCCGTGAACTTTTTGAAGCCCCCTTGTGTAAGTTTTTGATTCTTATTCTAAAAGATGCTATTGAAAAAGAGACCCTGCAATTCCCAAAGCAGATTTATGGGAAATGGTTAGAGAAGCACTTTTAGAATTTCAGAGTCTTAGGGTTATCACCCCAACCGTCAGTAATGCTGGAGCTGTCCCACTCCATGGCCATGGAGCCAGTTCCCGCTCACAGGGGCCCAACAGGATCGAGCAGAGCTGCTCCTTAGGATTCCCAACAGCCTCATCTGTACACTTGAGAAACGCAGCCCAACAGAAAAGCTTTCACTACATGTTCGTTTGCTATCTCCACAATCTCAATGACAAATGTCCTGAAGTACTATCAAAAAATAAAAGATAAAAAAACTAAATAGAAGATCCACCAGTTGCCTTTTTTATAAAGATTATTAAGATGTTAAAAATAAGCTTAAGATGGGTAAAATGGAAGTTAGTAGTCTTGGGACTGAGGAAGGGGGGGATGTGTGTTTGATTAGTAGTTTAGTTGTTGAATACAAAGTTATGATCTGAAATGTCAACTCCCATATTACAATAAATAACTGTAATAATAAAATTGGTTAATTAATTTAAAGGGGGGAAAGGATACAAAAAATAAGCTTAAGAAATAAACAGTAATAAACCTATTTCTTTTCTGTGCAATTTCAAGTTCAGCTTCTAGTGCTTTGGCTTTAACTGTCAAATTGTTCTTCTCTAAAAGCAGGCTCTTTTTCTGTATTTGCAGGACTGTTAACTTTTCCACCAACTCGTCCATCTCAGCACTTCCTTTCTCTTCTTCCTTCTGCAACTGGCTGAAGGAGAAAAACACCACAAGGCATGTATCCAGTACACTGAGCTTTACACATGACAGCCACTGCCCGCAGGTGGTAAGCATCCCAGCCCCTGGCCGCTCGCGGAGCATTTGGAAGACCTGAAGACCTGTCCGTGCCCGGGATGAGCTCGAGGGCAGGAGAGCACGCACTGCCCTCTGAGCCCTTCTTCCACGTGTAATATTTGTTTATGTTTATGCACATATATTTTGTTGTCATGGTAAGATGCTATTGAGTTGGTTCTAATTCATAGTGATCCTAATTACTCCCAGGAAGAATGTAAGACAGCTCAATTTCTATGACTGTCAAAAAAAAATCCCAATGCTAAAACAAATTTTACTATACTTTTGTTTTCATGATAAAAGAACCTCCCCCGGCGCCCAAAATGAGGGCAAGTAATTTCAATGTATAATTTAGCAAAATAATGTAGAGGAAATGAAATGTTTGGATTGGTTCTCTTAGCAGATTTTCATGAAATGACCACCATTCCATAGATGGGACCACAGACACAGAGAGGGGGGGTCTCTCTGGGCACCACAGGAGGGTTACCCCTGGCGGACAACACACCTCAGGCTGCTTGGGTTGGGGGGGGGGCACCTCACTTCTTTCAGTGAGTTCACACTCCACTGAAGCTCTGGACACGCAACCAGCAATTATCCAAGCCATTTCCATTGCTCCCCAGTTCACGTACTGCTGGGAGCCACAGTCCTCCAGTCGTGACAGCACAGAGGGAACTCAGGCAACAATCAGGATGGCACAGAATAAAGTCAATAATTAAGATGAATTAAGTCCATCTTTTACCTTTCTTCTTCATTGGCTTTTGTGCTTTACTGACCAGAGGATACTGGGAAAGCGCTATGTTGGTGACGGGCAGTCAGAGGACAGTATCAGAACCTGGAAAGTGCCCCCCCTCCCCCCGCCCCATCTGGGTATGTATGCAGGGAAATTTCCACAGATTTGCAAAAGCTGACACACGCAAGAAAGCTGACTGCAGCACTGCTGACAGACAAACGTAAAAATCACCTAAACTTCCACCGATGGAGTAAACCAAGTGCTGCCGTTCACGGGTAGAGGACCAGCAGGGAGCAGTGTAAAAAGAATAAACCGCACGCCTGTCTTAACATGAACAGCAGCTTGGAAACTTGAGTGAAAACAGGATGCACAGTATACCTGAAGTATGGATTTGTTTACGTACGTTTAAACTATACTCCCCGAAATACTACATGCTATTCAAGTGAAAATTTGAAAATAGGGACATAGATACCCGTTAGCATTAAGAAAGTTCACATTGATTCCGCATACTTTTCTTTCAAGTTATTTTATTTAGGTTCATCTCAGAAATGTAACAGTAACTTTGGGTTTCGGTTTTGAGGTTTCATCAGCCTCACAGAATGAATTAGGGAGTATCCCTCGTTTTCTATTTTCTAGGGTAGTTTAAGATTAGATTTCTTTGTTTCTTGTTAGAAACCTCTAGGTCTGTAGTTTTCTCAAAGAGATGATCTTGGGATTCAGTTTCTTTAACGACTAAAAGAACATTTGGGTATTGTTCTTTTTGAGTCAGTTTTGGTGGATTATATTTTTCAAGGACTTGATTAAAAACAATTCATTTAAGTTCTTTATAGATGCATACACATTTTACCTTCTACTTGGTATATTAAGCCTTTTACATCTATGAATTGGTCCTCTTTGCCAAGTCATTTTTTTAACCTTACCCTCTATCCTGCTAGAGATATTAATATAACATTCCACCACTAATTTGGTAATTTAGTTTGTATCTGAATGGTGTACTTTTTCTACCCTTTCACTTTTGACCTTTCTGCTTTAGACAACAACATCAAAACAAAACAACACTGGTCATAGAGTTGACTCTGACTCCCAGCACCCACACAGGATTTGTGAGGCTGTACATTCTTATGGAAGCAGATAGCCTCATCTTTCTCCGGCCAAGTGGCTGGTGGGTTTGAACTGCCAACCTTACCGTTAGCCATTCAATACTTACCGAAGAGTACCACCAATAGATGCCACTATCTACAGGACCCCAGTGCCACAGTGGGGTAAATGTGGGGCTGCTCTCGGCCATCCTATAACCTTCCTTTCCAAGAGATGGGATGGGCTTGATGGCAGTAGGAATTGTTGCCTTCTTGTTCCACCTTTTGTTTTCCTCTCTTTTCTTGTGTTTGGAGATTTCTTTTTAGCCAGTCTTTCTTTCCATATACTAGTTAAAAGTTATAGCCATTCTGTTTCCAGACACCTCATTATGCAATTTAATTGCAACCTATAAAATGAGTCCACAACATCCCCTTGCAGAGGGAGGAGATAAGCCAGTCAGGGTGCGATGTAGCAACGATGAAAAATACAACTTTCCTCTAGTTTCTAAATGCTTCCCCACCACCACCACCTACTATCATGATCCGAATTCTACCTTGCAAGTCTGGCTAGACCAGAGGATGTACACTGATACAGATAGGAACTGGAAACACAGGGAATCCAGGGAGGATGATCCCTTCAGGGCCAGTGGTGTGAGTGGTGATACTGGGAGGGTAGAGGGAGAGTGGGTTGGAAAGAGGGTACCAATGACAAGGATCTACATGTGACCTCCTCCCTGGGGAACGGACAGCAGAAAAGTGGGTGAAGGGAGATGTGGACAGGGCAAGATATGACAAAATAATAATTTATAAATTATCAAAGGCTCATGAGGGAGGGGGGAGTGGGGTGGGAGGGGAAAAATGAGGAGCTGATGCCAGGGGCTTAAGTGGAGAGCAAATGTTTTGAGAATGATGAGGGCAATGAATGTACAAATGTGCTTTACACAATTGATGTATGTCTGGATTGTGATAAGAATTGTATGAGCCCCTAGTAAAACAATTGAAAAAAAATGAGTCCACAGCTTTATCTGCTTTTGAAAGGTTCAAAAATTTTAGAAAACAATTTGCATTTACTCCCTCCCTGATGAAGAGCTACTATTGATTATTTGTGGTTACCAGGAGCAACAGGGAAGGAGGGAAAAAGGAGACTGAGCTGCTGCTAAAGGTGATGGGAAAATATGGAAACAAATAATGGTGAAGCTTGAACAACATGAGAAACTAATGCTGTTGAACTGTACATGTGAAGAACACTGAAAAAGCAAACCAGTTTTTATATAATTACCACAAATCTAAAAATGGATCAATGGCCTATATAAGAAGTAAGATCATAAACTCCCTAGAGAAAACACTGAGGTACGCCTTGAGCCCTAGGTTCTGACAATGGATACCACACCAAAGCACAAGCAATAAAAGACAAAAAAGATCACTGGATCTCAGGAAAAGCAAGCACCCGTGCGCATCTCAGGGTTCGTGGACGAAGTGGAGGAGAGAACCTGCAGAGCTGGGGACTACCTGGGATCATATAGCTGATAAGGCTTAGTAGCCAGAACAGACAAAGGATTTATAGTCTGTAACAGCAAAAAGACAAGCAATCCAATTAGCAAATGGGCAAAGGACTAAATAATTTCCTCAAAGGGATGAGACAGTAAGCACAAGAAAAGATGCTTGGCTACTGGTACTCACTAGGGAAGTGGAAAACCCAACCACAGCCAAGTACCACTTCACACGCACTAGGATGGCCATTATAAAAAAGAAATGGACATTATGGGTCGTGGTAAGAATGTGGAGTCATCGGGACCCTCAGGTATTGCAGGTGAGCATGCAAAATTACCAATGACCTAGTTATTCCACTCCTGGGAAGCAGGAACTTGAAAGAAAGAACTCAAAACAGGCATGCATATACTAATGCCTATTATAGAATTATTCATAAATGTGAAAAGATGGAAACAATCCAAGTGCCCACCAATAGATGAATGGACAAAATGTAGTACATGAACACAATGAAGAATTATTCAGTCATATACTAAAGATGAACATGGATGAACCTTGAAAACTTTATGATGAATGAAACAAAACAGATGCAAAAGGACAGATATAGGACATGTCCAGACTAAGAAAAAGTACAGATGGGGAAGATTCCCACTGGTTGCCAGGGTAGGAGGGAGCAGAGCTACTGCTGGAAGAGCCAAGTTTCTGTCTGGGATGATGGACCAGTTCTGGAAATGGTTAGTGCTGACGGCAGCAATTCATGGTGAATATGATCAATATCACTGAATGGTATATTTGAAGATAGTTAAAAGGGCAAACTTTTTGTAATAACTATTTTACTGTAATACATTTTTTAAAATGAGAGAAAAGATATTTTCCTGGGTCATGAGGATTCACTTGTGACCTTTTTTATGCCTGTATTGTGGCTGTATCGTACTCTATAGTTGTAACCTTTCACTTCTGCAGGCCCCTGTTATTAGATAACTAAGTTTCTAGTTGGACTACTTTAAATTATGTTTGGTTCTATACTCAATGAACATTAGAACAACAGGAGAACCACACACACACACACACACACACACACACACACACACACACACACACACAAAATGTCAACCTCAAGGGCAGCCATATTTGACAAACTATTTCTCATTTTCCAAATTGGACACCTGTGCTCAGGTAGCTAGAAGGGCTCAGAAGGAGACTCCTCAGCATCTCTCCCCTCTACCTAGGACAACATGCATGGTGATTCATGAAAGACTCGAAAGCTATTACTGCCTACCTTTTTAATTCATTCACAATTGAAGTATGGACTTTCATTGCAATTTTGTCATCCAAGTGCTTTTTCAGTTCTTGGCATTTGTTGTGCAGGATTTTCAATTGCTCCTTGTTTTCCATTAGTTCCTTTTCTTGACTCTGGGATTTAGTCTCCAGGAGGATGAGCTGTTTAGTTAGTTTGGAAACTGAAAAAGTAAAAGCATACATAAAAACTTGTTACCAAAGATGCGATTAACTAGCTACTACTACAGAGAGCCAGCTTACAAAAATGATCCTTTAGAGATCATCAAAAAGGCCTGTGCTTCGAAACTGCTGGTCTTCTATTAAGTCAAGGATAGGGTAATATTCATACACATACAAGGAAGACTGTACAATAATATGACTATTATGTACATCTACATACCAACCACTAATGCCCAAGATGAAGACGCTAAAGATTCTTGCCAGCGTCTACAGTCAGTCTGAAATTGATCAAGCATGCAATGGAGATGCATTCATAATTACGGCTGACTGGAAGGAGAAAGCTGGAAACAATGAAGATGGTTCACTAGTTGGAAAATACACCATTGGTAAAAGAGACGACACCCAAGAGTGTATGATAAAATTTAGCAAGACCAACAACTTACTCATTGGAAATACCTGTTTTCCAACAACATAAGCAGTGACTATTTGGACACCACAAAATGAAATACTAAGGAACCGAATCTACAACTTCTTGGAAAGAAGTTATAAAGAAGTCCAATATCATCAGAGCAAGACAAGGGGCCAACTGCAAAAAAGACTCACATACAAGTTGAGGATGAAAATGAAGAAAATTGAAACAAGCCCAGGAGAGCCAAGCTATTATCTTGAGCATATTCCACCTGAATTTAGAAACCATCTCAAAATATATTTGACTGAACCCTAATGACCCAAGATGAGCTGAACTATGGGATGACACCAGGATGAAGAAAGGCATTCAAAAGACAGGAAAGAAAGAAAAGCCCCAAATGGATATCAGAAGAGACTCTGAAACAAAGTAAATAAAGCAAATGGAAGAAAAGCTCAAATCAAAGAGCTGAGCAGAAAAGTTCAAAGGAGAGCTTGAAAAGAGAAAGCAAAGTGACAGAACGACACGTGCAGGCCTGGAGCTAGAAAGCCAAAGGGAGGAACAGGCTTGGCGTTCCTCAGGCTGACGAACTGAAGAAGCAATGTCAGCCTCCAGTTGCAACAGTGAAGGCAAAATAGTAAACGATGCCGGACGCATCACAGGAAGAGGGAAGGAGGACACAGAAAAATAACTGCCTGCCATATAATCGTTGCAAGAGGTCCACATGATCAAGAACCAATAATACTGAACAAAGTCCAGACTGCACTGAAGATATTGCTGGAAAGCAAGGTTCCAGGAGCTGACGGGATACCAACTGCGATGCTTCAACAAATAAATAATAAAAGTGCTCACTCATCTATGCCAAGACTTTGGAAGACAGCTACCAGGCCGACTAACTGGAAGAGATCCATACTTGTGTACAGGCCAAAGAAAGGGGACATAATAGAATGTAGAAATCATTGAACATTATCATTAAGATCACATGGAAGTAATATTTTGTAGATGATAACTCAAAAATAGCTGCAATAATTCAATGATAGGAAGTGCCAGAAACTCAGGGCAGATTCAGAAGGGGATATGGGACAAGGGGTGATTGCCATGCCAGACGGGTCTTGGCTGAAAACAGAGAATGCCAGAAAGAGGTCTGCTTGTGTTTTCTGACCATGCACGGGCTTTTAACTCTGTGCCTAACAAACACTGATGACGTTACAGAAGCGGTACACAGATCTGATATGAACCAAAGCTTAAAATCAGGAAAGGTGTATGTCAGGATTGTATCCTTTCATCACATTGCCTCAACCTGGATGCCGAGCAAATAATTCCAAAAGCTGGAGCCTGTGAAGAAGGTGTCCTAACAATTGGAGAAAGACGCATGAATAACCTGCCACGTGCAGATGACGTCACCCGGAAGTGAAGAGGATCTGAAACGCTTACTGATGAAGATCAAAGACGAGCCCTCAGCGTGCATAACACGTCAACAGCACAGGAAAGAAGAACTTCTTCCCGGACCGATCACAGCACCATGTAAGGGGAGAAAAAACTGAAGTTGTCAAGAATTGCAGTTTACTTGGATCCACCATCCATGGCCATCCACAATCAAATGACACACTGCACTGGGCAGATGTGCTGCAAATAACTCCTTAAAGTATTAAAAAACAAAGATGCCACTATGAGAGCTAAGGTGCGCCTGACTCAAAACCCCAAAACAACAACATCAAAACGCTGTCACTGAACTGATTCCCACTGAAAGTGACCTCTATAGGGTTTCCGAGGCTATCGATCTTTATGGGAGCAGACAGCTTCATCTTTCTGCCAAGGAGCAGTGTGTTTGAACTTCCGACCTTGAGGTTCACAGTCCAATGTTTACCCATCATTGCACCACAGCCTGACCCAAGCCAGGGTATTTTTAATGGCCTCACATACATATGAAAGTTAAATACTGAATAAGGGAGATTGGAGAAGAATCGATGGTGTTGGGGAAGAAAATTGAACTGCTAGAAGTAAGAACACATCTGCTTAGCAGTGCAGTCAGAATGCGCTTTAGAAAGGAGGAGGGCACAACACAAGAATACTTTCTTCTAGTAAATTGGCATTCTATGATGCTCACCTTCCCGATACAACCGCTGAAGACAAAGCGGGTGAATAAGCAAATGCGGTGAAGAAAGCTGATGGTGCCC